TAGAAAATCATCACTGGCAGGGTTAGTCACAAATTTTGAAACTGTTGGAAATTGTGTGTACCGTAAAGAGCTCATCACTGGCCAAGGGTGGATGAATCCTAGTTAGGAGAAGTTACCTTTCCTCCAAGAGAAACTGGCCTACATACATAATTTCTGGGCATGTCCGTCCAGAGAACGTCGAAGCGGCTGAATAGGCATAACCCGAGCAGGCGAAGTTCATGTCACAAGCAAGCCGCAGCTTTCCAGCTCGCCCTGAGTCAATTTCGCCATGCGTGGGTTGGAGCCAGAGGTGGCAGACAACCTCGGCTGTTATCCACATGAGCGAGATGGGAGCGCTGTAGTCTCGAAGTTGACGAATACAGCTAAAACATGATTCTGGAGTTGGGGCTGCCAGTGGTTCATAGCATACCCGGATCCCCACCAGATAAGGAGAACCTTTCAGACTACAGGCTGGGCTTGGCGGCTGATTCGGGTGCCTCATTTTGATTCACGGACTGCCTCCTCCTCACAAGGATCTATTGTACGCGATCCAGTTCTCATTTCCAGAGATGAGCGTTTTTGAAAATGTGTCTTTGTTTCAAAGAGAAAGGATAGTCTTTCTTGATGACAGCACATTCTGCCAACCTTCTCGAGTGCTAGCGGTGACGTGGTGGAATCCAGTCGTGGTCGCAAACTAACAGCCTACAAGTTTGCCACCACTCTTTCCTTTATGTCGTCGATATCCACTCCCAGTAGGCAACCCGACCGTACTGTCTTAGTCAGCGATGAATCACTACTCATGAATTCAACGAACCTCGTCAGGTACACTTACTTGTACCATATTGACGAGGACGTTGACCGTGTGGATTGAACGTGGATAGCTTCCAAGTAGAATTTCAATCAAGAAGGAAATCGTGCCGAGGGCGTGTCTGCTACGGTTGATACAGGCTGGCTGCATTGGAAGGTACCCACCAAATTAATGAGTATGAACAAAGTTTGAAGAAGTTCAAAGGGTGTATTTCTCTGATCCCATAGATCAACTATCATCATAGGAGGAAAGAACGGTGCCGGAAACAAATTCCAAAGGACTCATTCGACTGTCTGACACATTGTTGTTTCAGCTGGCAAAAATCAGCGTAGCCTTTCACTGCCAAACTACAATATCGGAACAACTTGATGGCGCTAGAATGTGTAGTTGCAGGCAAAACTTTGGCCTTTGATGGGATAAGCTATGGCATCTAACCAGTAAGCTGTTAAAAAGGCGAGGGCAAGAGCGTAGTAAGCTTTCAAAGAAAACGACTAGTAATCCGTAGAAAATCAAACTCCCGTAATCCGTTTTTCCAAAAAAAAAACTTATGAAATTCAAATTCAAAACGATCAAGCTAGTGCTCCTACTCCGAAATCATGGGAAGCTTCGATGATAAGAGTCAGGTTCGATCCTTGAATTCTTACAAGGAAAGTCCTTAAAAAAGTGCCACCAAGTAAATGGAGACGATTAGATTGGCGGCGAAATTGTGCTACCACCTTCCTACGATCTTGATAAGCAGGAAAACTACTTCGTTACTGTTTTTTACAGCGACTCAGTACAGTCAACTACAGAAACCGAAGGCAAAGGTAGAGCGGTTGAGATAATCGCCTTCGCCGCCCATACCATTCATGTTCTGAACAAATGAATTGAATCCAACTAGCATTTTATCTTTCCAGAGTCAGTATTTCATGCCTGACCCAGCCGGCATGGTAAGAAAATAATTGTTAATTGTTAGTTGTTAATAACTTGTAAGGAAGAAATGGACATTTGAACGAAATACAATGTGATTGCAAGCCGGATATGTGGCGCACCACAAAAAGGAGGCTATTCAACGTGAAGTGATTTCTTTTACAGCAAACAACGACAATTGTCCAGAGTGGAGAAGATGGAGCTTGTAGGAAAAAAAAGAAAAAGAAAAAAGAAAAGAGTGAAAGGACGATGACTCACTTTAACCACTTCACCTAAAATGCTGTTCAAAGCGGTTTTCCGAAGAACGTCAGAAAGGAATTTCTCGTTTGTAAGACTTAAGATCGTCAATAATCCAAAGGTCACGAAAACAAATAGGACATAAGACAGTAGTAAACGAAAGTTATGACGCCCTATTCCCACTTGCCATCTGTTCGACATATTTACAGATAACAGTGTTGACGTCAGCAAAATGTTGATTTTTACAGAAAGACATGGTTTACCTTCACAAAGTGGACCTTCCTGAGTTCTTTATATCCGATATTTATGTGTATATTTATTGTTTACCATTTATTGTGCTAGAAGCACTTGAGAAACCGCGTTATGAAATACCCAAATGGGCGCAACGCTGGTACCTCCAGTTATGGGTGTTTTCAAAACGAAATCAAAAGCTGTACAACAAATAAAAGTGAAAAATGAGAGTATCACTTAAGCCAAGCAATAAATAAATTGAGTGTAAGAGAGCGGTTCAAAGTAAACAATCAATCGCTCCGGGTCAACCGGGCTAAAAGTCCAATCAAATGGTGACTTCAATGAATTTCTCCCAAGGCTTAGAAAGGAGAAGATGAACGAAAAAACAACAAATACAAAATGAAATCGACTTCACCCTGAAAATGGTACCCAGATGGGTGACCACGGTTCGAATGAATGAACGAAAGAAGAGTAGCTGGGGAAGGATGACTCATTCTTAGCGTGCAGGGCGATCTGCGTCTCTGCCGTTGAGAGTCAGAGCGCAGACAGCCAAGGCACTCCTCGTGTGTGGCCGCACCTCCCAGCACTGGTGGCTACTCTGCTACTCCCTCCCTCACAACGCGATCATAGAGCTGACCGCCCAATGGACCAAATGGGTAATAAGCATTAACGACGCCACCACTATTAATCTCATTGCGATGCGCCATGCATTTTAAACCCTGTTGGGGTTATCGGGATTACTGAGTATCTCCAATGTTTCTATGGGAGAACGCAGTCGGATTCCTCCTAAAATCTCACAAAAACGCTCAACACCGAGTGAAGCATCGGTGTTGAAATTATTTATATCAAAGTAGGAGTGTACTAAGTTTGAAGGCTTCAATTTTTCCAGGCAAAATTGGCTAAATATATTCAAACTTTTGCCCAGCCTAGCGTCAGATTTTCACTGGTCAGTACAATCTCCGTGGGCGGAAGTAGGACCTTTAAGCACGCTTCGTAACTCTGCAAATTATATGAATAGATGGCTGAATTTGCTGGAGTGTAGTACTTTGGAGTAGTTTCTGTTCTAACACTGATGGCTACTAAGTGGAGTAGTGATTTATTAGACCACCCTTCGAGATTTGCTGACAACCCCTAGCCGATGACTTCTTCTTTTGCCTTATCGGATACTTTCATGATATCTTGCGCAGCGAAATTTTTTATTTAGCCTACCACGAGATTCTCAACTGTCACGGAGCCGAACCATTTCTTCTGATGGGGTAATCAGACCAAAGTAGAGCAATATATGCCCTTTTGTGAAGAAAGAGAGTAATGCCCTCGAGGAGTGACATTGGTAGACTCTCCGGACCTAACATCTTCGCTGTTTACCAATCTCTGGGAGAACACAAGGGAAATCATGCCAGAATCTTTCGAGCAGAGCTCACAAACTTGTGAACCATCGATATCAAACTTCATTTCATCACAATAAACAATTATTAAAGCCTGAAGGGTTCAATTTTTTCCAGACAACTTGGCTAAATAAATCCTTACTTTGGCCCAGTTCAACGTCAAAATTTTCTTCGTCAATTCAGACCCCGTGGACAAAATTAGGACCTTGTTTTGACTTGATGTTTTGTTAACTGCTGAAAGATCCCCGCAGTACGCGGTCTGGTAAGCACGAGCACGGGTTCAAGTCCCGTTCGAGGCCGAAGTTTTTCCCACAAATCGCCATTTCTGTGGAACTAGGGCCTATTAGCACGCTTTGTAACTCTGCAAATTACATGAATAGATCGCTGAATTTGCTGGAGTGTAGTATTTTCGAACAGTTCCCGTTCTACA